AAGATTGCTAAATTCATTTGGAGCTTTAGAAGACACACTGAACTTTTAACTTGTCTGATGTGGGTTAAATATTTGCTTTAATTCTAAGTACATTTGACTTCTTTGTTAGGAGTTTAAAGTTACATCTCTTGAATTCCCAGTCATTTTCTATTCAAGTTCTTTGTCCTTGGCACATAATACACGTTTCTGAGTTTCTGGAACATTTGATTGGATGTAATAGTAATAGGTGTTCTCCTCCCTGCCTCCTTCCCCTGCTCTCCCTACATAGTCAAAGCATACATTAATATCAAAAAGGCTCTGAAAAGTCCAATCATTAAATGAGATTTTCATTTTGAAAATTGAACTTAGTGGTTTCCTAACTTTTTAGGCAGGAAGCTTTGTCACTTACTAGCTGTGTGACCTTGTCTCACTTTTCTTTGTAAAATAGGGCAAAACTGCTTCATATGGTGATTATGAGCATTACGTAAGTGTGTAAATCACTTCATATACTGGTTGGCACATAATAAGCACTCACTAAGATGGTAGTTGTTTTTACTTAAATGTGGGTATTGACTTCTAGGCTAATTGAGGGTATGAGATCAGCTAAACAACAGAAAACTGTAATTCTGATGGAGGGCCAGTTGTGGGAGGCTTCATGGAGAAAATGGGTTTGGACTAAATCTAGAAAGTTGGATAAAATTTAGTAAGTTGAGAGGTGTGGCAATCTTAAGTTGTTTTTCTGAATATCCTTAAATATTTATAAATTTTCAAATCACTTAACTGTAGTTCTCCAAATCACAGTAGTTCTTCAAATCACAGTAGTTCTTTTGTTTTTGACTCCAGATATAAGTTGAAAGACATTTGGAGTGTTGCAAAATCTAAATTAAGGCTGCACAAAAGAACTTTCTACACTGATGGAAATGGTCTATCCTATAATAGGGTAGTCACTAGCTATATTGAGCACTTGAAATGTGGCTAGTGTAACCGAGGAACTAAATTAAAAAAAATTTTTTTTACTATTATTTCAATTTAAAATGAACTGGCCATATGTGGTTACCATATTGGACAAACACAAAAGTGAGCTTAAAATAAAATGAAGAATTTGTTTTTAAAGAAATAGCATGTGAATAAAAATGTCTAATACATGAATTCTTTTGTAATTTATAAATGTATTATATAATGCTGTTTGTTTTGTCTTAGGTCTCCAATTGAGAAACATGGCACTGTTTTTCCTGCACTCTACCCACCTATTGCTGGACTTCTGTTGTAACGAGTTGGCAAACACTGGCTGGAACTGGGCTGCAATAAAACATGCCAGTATCAATGCTGACAAGAGCCTAACAAGTGCCAACTTACAGATGATTACGCATTTTGAATTCTAATGAACTGTTTTAACCTTCAGGAAGAATTGTAAAGACCTGTACATAGCACAACATGATCCGGATAATATATATACTGTTCATGTACATCCACAAATACACCTTGTACCAAATAATGCTTTCTTGTAGTAGACTAAGAATCATGTAAATTCTAAAAGATTTTAGCAGGTTTTCTTCCCCTACTCATTGTTTCTTATCAGTTTTAAAAGACTCCTTAAAGCATGTCAGATGAAAAGCAATTAGGATTAAAAGTTTCCATTTAATTTTCTTTAAACCATTGAGGCTTCATTAAACTCTTTTCACTTACTAAACTTTTGTATCTTCTTTGTTTTGACACACTCCCCTTTGCGTTTATCTCTTCTATCTGCCAGAAAGTTTTCAAATCATTTAGTTCAAATACTGAAGTACTTAATAAGCAACTACTTGATTTTTAATGATGACTTCAGAGGAGTGGTCATCACTAGGTGCTTTGTCCTTTTTGTATTCTAGTTGCACCCATCTCTTGGATTGGATGTAGCAATAACATTTTTTGGCTGTTGAGAGCTCTTGAACTATCATTATCCCCGAGAACTAAAAATAATTGGTTCCGAATTAAACATACTGAAAATTTCCCCAAACTATACAAAATTCTGATTTGGTTTTTTGCCGTCCAGTTAGTTACCAAATGTTAAGATTGGATGAATAAAGCATGCAGAGCTACAGGCTTTCTACTTAACTTCTGGGTTTGCTATGAAAGATGCTGTTTACCCTCATACCCTTCTCCTTAGCCCTTTTCATATTTCTTTGCCTCTATTCTTCTATACTGCAGATTTTTCTCACTATTGTACAAAGAAATTGCGATGTATATTTTCATGTAATTTGATTTTGGAATTCTGTCACCTTATGTAGTGAGTTCTTCCAAAATACAATTTTTTTCCAATAATTGTCAAGTTGTTGGCTTTTATTGTATTGAATGAAGGTTATAATACTGAATGCCAGAGAAGTGCAGTTTAGAAAAATCTCAGGTCGATTCCTTATGCAAACAAACTTTTAATACTTGAAAATCACACGGCCATGTCAGTATATGTATTGGGCTCTATCCAGATTCTTATGTGAATCTCAAAGCATTGCAGAGGTGTAAATGCTTTGCTATTTGACATACAGATTCTGTCACTGACATAGTGCACTTGGATTTTATTAATGTTTGAGCATAAGTATATTTCATATCCTAAGTTTTCTAAAACAACTTCAGGAAATGGTTAGGCGAGCATGTGCAGTGTTAAAGGCAGGCCCAGATTCCTCACTGTTTGGTGTGAGGTTGGGATTGGGAAGTGGTAGTCTTTGGCATGTAAGGGACAGAATTTGAGACAGTACCAGGTGGGACATGGCGTTTAATTGTGAGAATCAGTGCATCTCTGTGGGGTTTGGAGAAATGCTTTGGTGAAAGCGTGAAAGGATTCCTGCAGGTAGCCTACTCCTCTATGAACTTCGCATGTCCTTTTTATTAAAGCAGAAGTAAAATGGTTGAGGGTGTAGTCACAATAGTGATTTTTCTAAATCCCAGGCTGGTCTCCGCTCTGAAGCATTATAAAAACCCATAAATGTGTAATGACTAAATGTGAAAATTGTTTGATTTTATTCATTGTAGCCCAGTTTTCTTCAAGAACTTTGTGACTTTTTTCTCAGACTCTGTAAAAAGCGTTGCCCCAAAGTCCCAGTACACATACCTACGTGGGACTTTGAACGCAATCCCTTTACTCTTAAATCAGAAGTTGTTCACATGGTGGTTGCTTGTGGCAAAATAGAATCTGAATTTTGCTCTCCTTTTGCTGTGATTCTGTTAGCAATCTGTTGAGTTAAAACCTGGTGATTTAACTCATCAGGGAGTAGCAAATGACCTAGTAACTCAGGGACAACTATTCTTGAACTTTAAGCGCCACTTTAATGCAGTTACTTTGGTATATCCACGTGTTGTTTAGGGCTAGATCTGGGGAGTAGAAGGGAGAGCCAGGAATGCGTGCACCTCTCTTCACACTCCTTTCCACCTGGTGCCCTTACTGTGCTACAGGCCTCCATAGATGTTTTGACTTTTTTTCCTCTGTCAGAGGTGTCATCTGTGCCTTTCCCAGTGTTCATCTGACAGTGTGAATTTAAATGCCTCTACATTTGTTATTAAACCACACTTGGGTGACACTGATCCAGGTGGCTTTTGTCCCCCCAGTGCCTCATCATTAGAGTGAGGTGACTCCTCTGCTTTAGGAAAAGGATTTTTCTCCCTAACCTTGTGCCAACTATCAACATCTACACAGTCTTATGGATTATAGAACTGTTGGCTGCTTCCTAAATTTATTCCAAGCTCTTATAAAGGCTTATAGATTGCAGTCTGCTCATAATGGGATGGGTTATCTCAATGGCTTTTTGGCCTCTTTGTGAGTTTAAAGTCCATATGAGGTTGACTTCCTTGTCATTATAAGGTAATATCTTTGTGAGGTATTCCACTAGTTCTGTGATCACTTGGGTGTCATAGTATCTTTAATGGCCTTCATTCTCGGTTGTGAAATTTTATTTTATATGCTTACTCACCCTCTACAAATCTGCCCATTTGGGGTTGTGGTGCCTGTGTATCTTTGCCAGTCTGGTCTCCAGTTGGTGGAATTACCTTTTTTGTACTGCCACTTCTCAGCATCTTTGAAATTTGACATAATGTTGCTTCATTCCAGTTTATTTTTTTTTTTTTAGTTCTGTAATTTGTTGATTGTATTTAACTATGTGAGTTCTGTTGTGATGTTTACTGTATTGTAAAGCACCTCTATCATGTGATGGGTGCTCTATAAATCAATAAATGATGACTTAGAGGCTGTATCATGAGCTATTTTGGTTTTAGGATGCAGGTCTCAAAAGCAAGTTGTGGGATTTTTTTCTATGTAAACAGTACATGATACCAAAGGTTCCACAGGGCAACCTTGATAAAGAGTTTTTAAAACTTCACTTAAAGAAGGAACCAGAGGATGGGAAGTTAACTTGGCTTCCAACTTGATGTAATAGTCTAACATTTTCCAGTATGGGGCCAAGCACCATTCTTTAATCAGAGTTTTCTGTGATGCTGATGTAGAGCCTAAATAAAATAAGCACATATTAGAGCATTATTGGGGATTTTGTCTTTGGCTTAAACTAGTTCTACCATAAAGCTAAGCTAAAAGGTGAAGAACCCAGATTCGAATGTGAACTGCAAGACCACAGGCTTTCAATCAGTCTTCTCAATCACCACCTTATTGCCTAAACAGATGGGCAAACTTGGCCCAAATACCTGCCCAGGATCACTTAGTAAAGTTAGTGGCAAAAGAGGCAAGACAGAGTACTTTTTTTTCTTAATAGGATGTCATCCAGCTTTTCACCCTGCATCCTTACATATAGTTCATATGGATATACAGTGTTAGGTGTTAAAAGCTTGTTTGTCTAGATACAAGTTGCCAGTGGCTATTAAAGGCTCTTCCTTACAAACTGTGAAAACATGGAGCTAGACCGCTTAATCAGAGCTGAGTTAAAAACAAGAAGAAAATCCTCCTTGAGAGGAGTTTGGGGAAGATTGGGGATCATTTTCAGTTTAATTTCCCTAATAAATATATTTGAAATAAAATTATTATAGAAGGGTCTAGATGATGGTACCTGAACTTTAAATATCAGTTTTATGCATAATCATATACTCCAGGTATTTAGCAAAAAAATTTTATTTGCATGCTGCTTCAAATGCAAATGAGGTTTCTGCCAACTGTGCCAGGTTAGGCTTTGAGGGAGGACCAGTTGATTTTCTCCCTTCCCCTTATAAAGATAGGGCTGTAACCACCTTATTAAACTTAAATTTTTCATTTTCTGGAGGACTGCAAACTTCAATAGGATTCAGTTTGCAGAGCAAATTATTTCCAGAGTAAGATATTTTTGGTTGTTCAGTTTCAGATGTGTGTAATCTGCCAAGGTGGATTAGCCTTTTTGGTTTGTTGAGTCAGCACATCAACCTGAACTGTAGTGAAATGATTAAAGAATTTTGAATCCCATTCACATAGGTGGAATAAACTGAAGGAGAAGGAAAAGGCTTTTACAAAATGCAGCCAGAATACATCTTATACATAGGAGCTGCACAGAAAGGCATAGGGGAAACATACTTGATTTTTCCCTTCCCAGCAGTGTTCCATTAGGAATAACGGTACTAGTGTGCTCATAGTGACATTTCACTCCTAACAAGCACCAGTTCTTATTTATCGAGCATCAAATTCTTATTGAGCTTTTACTTTGTGGCAGGCTTGTGGCAGATTTCATAAAGGATCTAGCCAAATTCTTATAAGGATCCTCCAAAGCAATAGTTTCTCATGAGGAAACAGGTTCTGATTCATTTGTCAAGATTGTAGAGGAAGTAAATTTCACAGCTGGGATTCAGTTCCACAACCTTCCTTACATACTGGATGTCGTGAACCCTTACCTAAAAAACATCTTTTCCAAGGTCACAGAGAGTGGACATGTTGAGGCTAGTACTTGAACTCAATTCAACAGACTACCAATCCCCTCCCTCCTTCTACCACAAAAGGCACTGCCTCCCCAGAGTCTGTTCCCCTGTGTTCTTAAGGCAGTCAGCATTTATCCCTTCCACAATTCATGTTCCCTGTCCAAGACAACTCCGTACTATTTCTCTTAATCTAATAGCAAAACCTGAATTAGGTCTAAAATGAACCATGTTCTAAGGGCTCAGATTTTTCAAGATGTCTGTATTTCGGGTCACATCTAATGTAGCTCCATCCAAGCCTGTTGGGGGTTGTAGTTCACTGAGTACTACAGATGCTTTATTTTATAGGCTTTACTAAGAAGTCCTCTGTAGCTCTGGGGATTCAAGCCATTAAGAGTCTACTCAGAAGACCAGGGTCCAGAGATAGGGTTATACTGAAGGCATTTCTAAAAGGAGCACTTTCACCTCTGCTAGAGGACTTCTTGAAACTAGGTTTTGATGAGGAGGTAGTCAGTCCCTTGAGTTGGTTAAATAAATCCCTTAAGGTGAGCTCTCATTTGACTGTGGGCAGCTGGCCCGAGCAAACTGAAAGGGCACACGTTTGTTTATTCTTGCATGTGTGCCACCCTAAGGGAGAGGGTCCCTGGTTTTCATCAAATCCTCAGAGGGGGTTGTGACCCTCTAAATAATTAAGAACAATGGAGTCTAGTCCAAATCCCTCTGAAATTGATGGAGAATCTGAGAAGACAAGTGTAAAGCTTGCAGGGACTTGCCCATGATCAACACAGCAAATCAGTTGCAGAGCCAAACTTGAATCCAGTTCTCTGGACTCCCAATATATAGCTGACAGTGGTAACAACTCATCAAACATTCTGTGTAGCTGCTGTATGCCAGATGCTAGGCTGGTGCTGGTGAGGCAAAGATAAGTCCTATGATGTAAAGCCAGGCATCAGTAATGACAGTACTTCCCAACCACTTTTATGTCATTTTTATGTTATGACCCAGAAAATATTTGTAGGGTACTCTTAAGATAAACAGATGAGGCTGCTTATGGCCAGAGGAGACTGGCGTACCTGGCCACCCTGATGGCCCCAATGGCTCACCATGTGGCACATGAGAATCCATTCTCGACAGAGAAGCTTTAAGCTATGGCACCTCTGTTGAGCCTGGCAAGTACAGTACTCCCCCCTCCTTAGTCTAAGTGCTGCTTGCTAGTGCAGCTCCTCTAAGCACCTCCCTGCCCATATCTCCTGCACATCTTGACTCTTCCCGCCACAACTGGACTGGACCATCATTTCCCTGAGTACGCCATTGTTATTAGACAGTTCAGTACCCTCTCCCCATCCATATCCCAGGTGTCCCTCAGCCAGAATTGTCCTCAAAATTTTAAGTCCATGACCTTATGTTTCTATGTTCTGAACTCCAAATTTTTTACCCACTTCACTACCCACTAATGCTTAATTTTGGCACCACTGAAAACTCCAGTTTCAAATGCTGCCCCTTTTCTGTTCTGACACCCTCATGCTGTCCTTAGATCCTTCCTTGAACCAACCATCCCTTTTTCTTGGCTATTCTCCAAAGCCATGGCTTTCCCTGCCGACCTTAAGTGTTGATGTTCCTAGGAATGAGTACATGCAGCATTCTTTTGACTCTCTTTTGAGTAAAAATCTTTGTTGAAAGGTCTTATGCTCTTCAGCTATATTACTCTTTAGGCCACATTTTTTTGTGTGTCCTATTTAGTCATCCCCACATTCCCTGTAAAGATTTTAGCACATGGTTTATGGATTGGTCTCCTTTCCCTATCTCTAAATTCTAATATCTGATTTTCTAAGCTTCCAGTTCACCTATTGTAGTCCATGGCCCTGTCCTAGACTTTTATCATCTACTGCTACTTAACTTAGGAACTTGAGTTTACCACCCTGACCACAGGGCTCTCACACCCTTGTTCATACTGAGGACATAATGTCTTCAATATTACAGAGACCTGCAGTTTCATGACTCCTACATCAGTCTTTACCCAGTCTGCACATGAGCTGTATTCTTACGGTATTCTCAATTTCTTTCTGGGAATAAGTCCTAAACCCTGGACAAATGCTATAATCCATATTCTCTGCTTCTGCAGCCAGGTGGCTGAGTTCTGCTAGAAAAAAACCCCCAAAAAACAAAAATACGTATGGGAGACACTTGAAGGCAGGCCTTCCAACCGGAGTCCTCTCCCAAATTTTCTTCACTCTCTTCTGGTCCCCTTGCTTACGAACTTCGACCACAAAATTGATGTCATCGAGGAATCTCCCTGATCTCTCTTTCCCCCTTCACATCTATCTGCAATCGTGTTCTTGTTTCCTGTTTAGTAAAATAACAGTGACCTGCCTCTAGTCTAAAATTAATCCCGTCTCCTGAATCCCTTCTGCATTCGCTTTCAGGGCATCCCGCCTCCCCGGGGAACTTGTACCGTCATCAGCCTTTCCCTCTCTGGCTCTTTTCTCTTAGCTTCTCACATCTTTACAAACAACCTCAAGACCAACAAAACCCCTCTCTAGACCCTCTCACAGTCAAGCTGTTCCAAAGCGCAGTCCACGCTCGTATGTCCATCCTTTTTACTGCCCTCTCCAGGGGGTGGAATATGATAGAGCCCGGTCACTGCCTGATCAGTCCCGAGCCTCGAAAGCACTACTAGGTGGAGAGACGGGCTCTCGGTCCTTCCGGTGTCCAGCTGCCCGCTTCACTTTTCCTTCACCGCTTTTTCCTAGTCCCGACTCCTCCCTTTGCCTGGCTTCCCAGAACTCTCGCGAGATTTGGGGCCTCCGTTACGCACCGCCCCAGTTGAGCGGCGCACTTCTCGCGAGGCTGCAGGCAGGGCCGGGCCCGACATGGCGGAAGGTAGGGTTTTTGTGGAGCCGCGCGGGAAGGCGCGAAGCTGTGGGGGCGCTGCTGGCTGGGCCAAGCATCCTGAAAGGGGACGGCCGGGCGTGGTCGCGTGGGGCACAGCGCGTCTCGCGAGCCTTCCTCTCCGGTCTCTGCCGGGCGCCTCGGGCCGGGGTCTTCAGCGCTATTCCTATTCAACGCCCCTCCGGCGGTCCCAGACCCCACGGGACCACGGCGGACTGCGGAGTCGGGTTAGGTGGTCCCGTGCCGGCACTGCGTGCAGCTGCGGGGATCCCAGGGGCGGCCGGGGAGGCTCCTTTGATTCCCGGAGGAGCTGGGACGGCGGGGGAAGTAACCCTTCTCCTTAGGAAATCGAAACTGCTGTCCTGGCACGCCCCGCGTCCGGAAGGGGTCCATCCTTCGCCTGCGGAAGAGCTTGGGACTCTTCTCGGGATGAGGGGCTGCGGAGAGCTAGAGCTGTAACTGGCCAACGCGCCAAAAGGCGCGCACTGTGGTCTCTGGACTCCCCGGCTGCCCCGGGATTCGGGCCGGCTGGGATCCTTTTCCTAGGTTTACAGATGTGGATGGGAGGAGGGGGTTTGCTCGTTAAGGGAGTTGGCCAAGGTCACACTGCTCCTAAGTGATGTGCTAACCGAGACCTCTGCTCCTTTGCCTCTCAATCTAGTCCTTATCATCTTCTGGTGCTGTCTTCATGACACTGCAGGTAAAGGCAGTTTGGTCTCAGACGCTGCCTCCCCTAACATAGCAATATTAGAATCCTTCATTGTCAAATCTTTATTTTGCAGGTTGGGGGAAAGAAGGCCCAGACATGGGGAGATAACCTTCCAGGGACTCTACAGTGACTCTGTGAGACCTGGCCAGGGTGCTTCTCCTATTTAGTCATCCCATTATTGGAGGAAAATACTCCTTATTTGCTTAAATGTTTGAGTGATAGCAAGGTGCTGGGCACCACCTGTAATATTGGTTGGTTGGTTGGTTGGTTTTGGTCATATTGGTTTTGAGCTATGTTTTGTCTGAACTTGTCTTGGATCTTACATTTGGGCAGCACGTGACAGTTTGCAGGCTTTTCTCATTTGGATTAGACTTGTGAAAAGCATTGTGAAGGAGGCCTGGCATGTGTGTTGTGTGCACTTTACAGATAAAGGAATTGAGGTCAAAGTTGAGATAGTTGGGATTGGCACCCAGTTTTTGTCTTTGCTCTTTCTACCATGTTCGACCCCTCTGGATGGGGCAAAACATCTGATGAATATTGAATGAAAGCAGAGGAGGAATAAAAGGAACAGAAAGGAAGCTAAGGCTCCCATGAAGCTAGTTTTTGGATAAATCACAGACTGTTGTGTAACATAGTTTAACAGCAGGCAGCTTGCGACATGGCTTGTTGCTCAGAGCAGTGAGGTGGGATAGCACGGTTAAGGAAGGCCTTATGTGAGGTAATGATGGGTAGTCAAGCACTTTTACACCAGGAAGAGAAGTTGAGCGTTTGGGGAATACATTACCAAGGTTGAAATTGTGGAGGGCAGCTGGTTTTTCATTCAGCTGTTTTACAGAGCGTCTGCTTGTGCTTTGCAGTCAGGTTCCAGCCATGAGGAGCTCCTGCAGGTTCAGTATACTGAATACTATCCTGCAGGTGGCCTTGAGGTATGTGTTAGGGTAATCTTGAGAGACATCTAGCCAGCACAGTATGCATTTTAAACAAAACACCCTTTTAGGGTTAAATTGGTAAGGGAAGATAGATAGTTGAGCACAGTAATGAGGTTCTCTGACTTCACAGTTTTCTTTTACCTTTTTAAAAAAGTGTCCCAATTTCCATGGCCTGTGTTCTTGTTCAAACTCTTTAGAAACAATGTTGCAAACTTTGACTAGGAAGAATTGAGTGGCGCATTCTAGTCCAGTTAGGCTATTATACTGAAGGTGCTTATTATGCAAAGGAAGGCAAGATTAGCTAGAAAATGCTTTGCAGGTGTGTTTTATGCGCTTGTACTTTATCAGAATTTATCAGAACACTTGTTCTAAGGTAGTCATCTACATATAAGCAAATAGCAAAAATCTGTGTCATATAACGATTGGATTACCTGCAAGCTCACTGGATGGGAACTTCTCTGATAATGTTTTTTGTTGGGTGGTGTGTGTGTGAACATGTGGAAATAATACTTAGGAATAGTAATTAGAACCTGGAGAGACTGAGTATACAGTAACGTCTTAATGGGACTTGCTTAGAAACCAAACTTCCTTCCAGCCATCCATGGGTATTGGTTTGACCATATACATTTAGTTAAAGTCTGTCCTAAAATTAGTTTCCATTTTCACCCTACATCTCTGCAGCTGCCCTATTAGTCTAAGCTTCCTTCATCACTCAAAAAAGTTCCTCCTACATGGACTTTCTGCTTTTACTTTTTTCTCCTTAATTTTGCTTCCCCACAGCCTATTTTTATAGTTTTCCAGTGTTCCCTCTAAAACATAAATCAGATCATGTCTTTCCTACTCTTTTCGATGTACCGACCCTTTCGCACCACACACACACACACTCTCACACTCACACACTCACCCTCCTCCCATGGCTCACCATGATCTTAAAATATATTCCAATGCCTTACAATGACTTTCAGCTCCCAACGAGGTCTGACCCCTGGTTAACACTGTGACCTTATTTTCTACTTCTCATTCATCGTGCTTTTATCACAACTTCCTCGCTGCTTTTTGTACATTCCCAACATGCTTCTACCTCTACTCCTTGCAGGCCCCTTTGCCTGGAACAGTCTGAATTTCTCTACACAGCAAACTGACTTTTATTCAGGTGTCTGTTTAGTTCTCACCTCTTTAGAAGTCTTGCCTAATTTTTTTATTTTTTTAATTCCCTTACTGGAATATAAACCCCATGACGGCAGAGACTTTATTTGTTCACTGCTGTATCTCCCAACTTAGAATTATGCCTGTGGTTGAAGGATCAGATGATTTTATTGAGCATCATTTACCAGACATCAAGAAAGGTTGCCTGGTGGGCTGGCCGAGTGGCGCGTTGGTTAAGAACTGGCTTGGGACGCCAGAGGGCCCCGGTTCAGATCCCACATATGAGGGCCAGTGACACTGCCCTCT